CGATCCTCCAGCCCCCTGAAGAAGTCCGCCCTGTCACCGTACTCGAACTCGAAAGCGGCCTCGGAGGCGAACTTATCGTTGAGCGATTCTCCAGTGGCTGCGTCGAGCCTGTGCAGCTCAACAGCACGATCGACGATGCAGTTGGCGAGAAGTTCGCTAATGCCGCTCCTGCTCAGCTTCTGCGCGATGGCTCTCGCTGTCGCCTCCTTGTCACGAATTCCTCGGTTGCCAATTGCCCTGAAAAACGAAAGGGACATGTCAGAGCTGGCCAAGATATCACTTGGCACGAATGACCTCGTCACGAGCCGATCCAAAGCATGGTCAAAACAGTTTTCCAATTTCCATGTGGGCCGCCCTGAAGTGTCCATCTTCTCTGCCTGGAGCCAATCGCCGTCGAAAGTACACCTCCTGTGATACCTTCCGTCATCGCCTTTGCGGCGCTCCTCATTCTCTAGGATATCCTGGGCCTCGCGCTCGACGTCGTTGTACCACTGGCCTAGGTCGATCTCCTCGGCCACGTCCACTGGACGCAGGCTCTCGACGACTGGGTCGACCTCCTTGGCTACGTCCAATGGACGCAGGAACTTGCTCTCGACCGCGCCTGCTGGAACGATGGGCTGCATCCAGTATCCTCTGACGTACTGCGCAGGGCCGGCCGCGTAGACGACGTCGCCCCGCTTCAGCAGGTCGCATCTGTTCAGCGAATCTGGCGACTCGAAGACCTAGAGAAACAACCGCGTAAACAGAATCTCTCGGAGATCCGCGCGGACTTCTCGCATCGGCGCCGGGGCTCCCTCCCCTGGCACGCGCAGAGCGCAGGGGGCGGCGCCGGGAGGCGCCGCCACGGGCGGCCCGGCGCCGATGCAAGAAGTCTGGGTGGACCTCAGAGAAACTATGCTTACGCCGTTGTTGAAGGGGCCCAGGGACACACAAAGAAACAAACACAGACCCCAGGATTACCCCTATGTCTACACGTTCTGTGGACGCTCCTCTTCCCCCCCTGCCCTACTTCCCACGTCTTCCGTATTTTCCTGGGGTGGGGAAACCAAAAAGTACGGATACTACTACTCCCTGAACACCTCCCGGGGTGCGCTCTCACCAAGAAGTCAGAGCAAGCCCAGCGGGGTGACGACGAGGGCAGCCCGGGAAATCGAGAATGGAGAGAACGGGCGAGGGGCAGCGGCATCCGGTGCCTTTTTTCTCCTCTGATGGAGGTCGACATCTGTTTGCGTCTGTGTATTCGCCGATCAGTGCTTGCACTGAAGGGGTCCTGGCGGAAGTTGAAAGATTTGCCGAAAATTTCACGCCGAGTTTGGCAGCAGGCTGGGTTCCCGGGTTCCTGGTTCCAGGTTCCCGTGTTCCCGACTATTGGTTCTGGGCCGACTTCGGTGGGTTCTGGGTTCCCGGGCTCCCAGGTTCCTGGTCAATCTCCTCAGCGAAAACTATCCACTGACTGGGTTTTTTCTCTGGTGTAATGTTTTTTTGCTTCTGAGTTGTTTAGGGGCGAGCCCGGGGAGGGAGTGCGAAGGGGCGGGCCTTCTCAGAAAGCTCGGAAGCCCGCCAGCCTTCCGAGAAATTGCCCTGAGCCTCCCCCGAAGACACCAAACATTTCTAAGAAGGCGCGAGGGCTTCTGAGAGAAGTCCCGCCGCCTTCTGAGGAGGCCTTCTCCTCCTCTTTTCCCCCCCTCGCTCGCCGCCGAATGTGGTTTTCGGGCCAGAAGTCGGGTCTCCGGCGGCCGTTCGAGACGATCCAAGCAGCCCCGGAACGCTCTCGGCAAGGCGCAGCGGCTGGGACGCATCCCGAGGGCGGAAAACCGCCAAGAGACTGCGAAAGCGCCCGAACAAACCTGGAACCTCGAAGCTCGAACCAGGAAGCTTTCCCTTCCCCCCTGGAGTTAGGTCGGGCCTGTGGGATTCTGGACGAAAGAAATAATAGTCAAAAAATGCCCCCCAAATGCTCGAATGTGGTCAGAAGATCGTCCCCCGACTATTTTTGCACTCTTCCTGGACACTCCTCCTGTAGAGGGACGCGCCCGACTTCACCCTGGAGCGCTTGCTCCTCCGAAGACCGTGAGACTGCCCCGGACGACCACGAGCCGCGCCGCGCCCGCCGCGCCGGGCGGGGGCGGCCGCGCCGCGCCGGGGGCGGCAGCGCGCGGCGGCTGCGGCTGCTGCGGCTGCTGCGGCTGCTGCGGCCGCGGCTGCTGCGGCTGCTGCGGCTGCTGCGGCTGCTGTGCTCCCTCGAGGACGGGCCCCGACAAGTCCCGGCGCGGCACCCCTTCCACGCCGGGCGCTCGCGCTCCGCTGCGGGCCCCCCCCCGGGACCCTCACGGGCGGATCTGGCGCGAGGAGTGACGCAGGAGGATGGGGTCTCGGGCTCTGGGGGCCTGCCGGCTCACGACCACGGAGCGCCTGGGCGCGCGGGAGAGACACGCGGCCGCCAGGAGGAGGAGGAGGAGGAGGAGGAGGAGCAGGAGGGAGAGGAGGAGAGGAGGAGGAGGAGTGAACGTTTACGATGTTGCAATTTTTTCGCCACGTCGGGTCTCAGGGTGGACAGGGGGAGGCCGTCGCGTGGTGCGAAGTTCCCTCCTCCAGGGACGACGAGCTCTGCACTCGGCGGCGAGCGAGGGGGGAGAGTCAGAAGGAGAGGGCCCTCTCAGAAGGCGGCGGGCTTCTCTTAGAAGCCCTCGCGCCTTCTGAAAGTCGTTGGTGTCTTCGGGGAAGGCGCAGAAAGCTTGTCAGAAGGCAGAGGGACTTCTGAGCCTGCTGAGAGGGCCCGCCCCTTATCACTTCCCCCCTCGTTCGCCGCCGAACCTACCAAACCACACCAACCCAACACGAAATCACCTCTGGGATCGTCCACTTCTGGTCGGGGGGGGACCCAGAGAATTGAGAAAACACGATGGAATCCATACGGCCCCCAACCCGAAAAAAAAGAGTGTATATATATATATATATATATATATATATATATTATGTCTCATATTTATTTTAACACACACACACACACACACACACACACAAACAAAAAAAAACGTCCCCTGATTATGGTTTGACTTTGTTTGTTGATCTTCCTCCTGTAGAGGGACACGCCCGACTTCAAAAGCAGTGGTGCCCTCCTCATGGGGCGACGAGATCTACACGTGTCAACTGATCCTGGCCAGGTCCATCCTGGGCCCAGGAGCGGCGCACGCGCCCTCCTGGCTTGGCCAGGGGGGCGCACATACACACACCGCTCCTGGGCCCAGGATGGGCCTGGCCAGGAGCAGCGGACATGCACACAACTCGTCGCCCTATCCTGCTCCTCCCTCTTCCCTCCTCGTCCCTCTTCCTCCTCCTCCTCCTCTTCCTCCTCCTCCCTCACTATTCCTCCGCCTCCTCCTCCTCTCCTCCTCCTCCTCCTCCCTTCCTCCTCTTCCTCCTCCCGGACCTCCTCCTCCTCCTCCTCACTCCTCCTCCTCCTCCTCCTAGCCCCGCCTCCTCCTCCTCCTCCTCCTCCTCCTCCTCCTCCCTCCTCCTCCTCCTCCCTCCTCCTGCCTCTCCTGCCTTCTCCCTCCTTCCTCCTGGTTCCTCCCTCCTCCTCCCTCCTCGCTCCTCCCTCCTCCTTCTCACTCCCGCCCCCCTCCTCCCTCCTCCCCCCTCCCTCCTACCCCCTCGCTCCTTCCTCCTCCCTCATCCCTCCTCCTTCCTCCCTCCTCCCTCCTCCCTCCTCGTCCCTCGTCCTTCCTCCCCCTGCTCCGCGCCTCCACCCCACATGCGCATCACGCGACGGACCCGAGCTGCCGACCTTGCCGCTGCCGTGCCCCTTGGCGCGGTGGAACGTGAGCTCCAGGGGTCGAGACTTCATGATGGCGAACAGCATCTTGGGCTCCATCCTCGGCTCGGTGGCAACTGATAAAAGCCTCCCATACCATCTTGTCGGCTGTTGCGAATCGACGCTGAATCGGCACCGACACCCAGACGCTAGTCGACGCTGAAGACGGAATTACGACGGTGCACAAGGCTCCCATGATCTGCTACCGAGCCTTGCGGGCCCCAGAGAGATCACCCCGTGCCGGCCCACAAGATTCGCAAGACGACGGTGAGGACACGAGCACAAAGGCGGGAACGAACGACGAGGCGACAGGGGAGAGGGAAGAGACGCCAGGCCCCCGCTATTTGTGCACAGTGGCAATGGCGCGGCGTTCTGAGCCTGGCGACAGGCGTGGCCCGTGAAACGAGGAGGGGGATGCGCTACGGTGACAGACCGAGCGGTGACTTCGATATCTGGACCAGCACACAAACGACACCACCCCACCTACGGCCCCACAGGGCCCAGGGTATACCAGGAGATCTGGTGTGGGCTTTTGCATGGTATACGCCACGTCGCCCAATGGGCCGTAGCGCAACACGGAAGGCCGTAGGTGGGGTGGTGTCGTGTGTTTTTTGGTCGAGCATCCCTAGAGAACCCTCCGCGCGGTCCGTCACCGCACGGTTCTCGGACCGCGGAGGCCACAGTCGCCCGAGGCATCCTCGGAGAACGACCGGTGCCCAAAAACCGTGCGCAACGCCTGCGAGCGTGTACGCGCGCGTCTGTCGGCGAAGCATCGCCGCCCAGTCTGGGGGGCGCCCCAAGCGACCCGGATCGGCGGCGGTGGCCGAAGGCCACTGCAATTAAGTCGGGCCTGTCCCCTTACAGGGGGACCTTGGACGAAAAGTAAAAAATACCCCAAAAATGCTCAAAAGATCCCCAAAAATGCTCAAAAAAACGGTCCCCAGGCTATTATTTTCTATTTTTGGATATTCCCCCTGTCACTAGCCAACGTCAGTGGGGAACGCACGTGGAGGCGATGAGTCACGACCGTTGGGCGAAGAAGGCACTGTGCTGGCAGCCGAGTGGTTTCCGGAGCAAGGGCCGCCCCGCCGCGCGTTGGGCTGACCGGTTCGCCTCTCTGAGCGCTGAGCCCTAAGGGCATGCTCCCGCGCGGGCGCCGCGCAGCACGTACTCAGCGACCCTCGACCCTCGACCCTGTAGAGGGACAGGCCCGACTTAACACCACAGTGCACCAGACCTTCTCCGAAGGCTTCGCTCCCGGGCCGCAGCTCGGGGGCCTCTGGCGGCCGTGGGGGGCCCAATCAGGCTCGCCCCGTCGGAGCGCCCTCGGCGAGGCGCCGCTGTCCTCCTCCTCCTCCTCCTCCTCCTCCTCCTCCTCCTCCTCCTCCTCCTCCTCCTCCTCCTCCTCCTAGCTCCTCCTCCTCCTCCTCCTCCCCTCCTCCTCTCCCCTCCTCCTCCCCTCCTCCTCCTCCTCCTCCTCCTCCTCCTCCTCCTCCTCTCTCCCTCCTCCTCCTCCTCCTCCTCCTCCTCCTCCTCCTCCTGGTCCTCCTCCTCTCCTCATCCTCCTCCTCTCCTCCTCCTCCTCCTCCTCCTCGTCCTCCTGGTCCTCTTCCTCCTCATCCTCCTCCTCCTGATCCTCTTCCTCCTCCTGCTGGTTCTCCTCTTCCTCCTCCTCCTCGTCCTCCTCCTCGTCCTCCTCCTCCTCCTCCTCCTCCCCCTTCTCCTCAAGAGGCCTCGCGCCCGTGAGCGATCGAGCGCGTCCGAAAATAAAACAAAACAAAACAAAAACGAACCCTGACGGCGTCGTCACCGCGCAGGACTCACCGACTCACCGCACCGCTTGGGGGCCCCCTGGCATCCAATTGGGCGGCTCGCCGTTGATCAGGGCCAGGCGGTCCCCGACCTGCACGCCCAGCTTCTCGGCCCAGCCGCCGGTATGAACCGCATTGGCCACCACCCGCCCCACGGGCCCCTGCTTGCAGAAGGAGGAAAGGCAGCATGAACATCAACTTCTGGAGCTCCCAAGACTTCCAACGGAGGTTTTCGTCCTGTCGCCCTCTCGGGGCCCTTCCCGGGGCCCAGGACCACCAAAGAAGACACACGGTGAAAGACTGGCCCTGGGGCAAGTGAGGAGGAGAAGGAGGATGGGGCGGAGGCGAAGGAGGAGTCGATGCTGCGTCGGTCAGAGTGTTTGGGTGCCTCGATTGGAGGCTCGCCCCGAGTAGCATCGATAGTCTCGACTTGTGACTCGCGCTCGAAAGGGGTAGCAGTAACAGTAAAAATGGCAGGAGAAGGAGGAGGAGGGGAGGAGGAGGAGGAAAAGGAGAAGGAGGAGGAGAACGAGGAGGAGGAGGAGGAGGAGGAGGAGGGTTAGGAAGAGGCGGGGGAGCGAGGAGGAAGAGGAGAACCGAAGAGGAGCGAGGAGAAGCGAGGAGGAGGAGGAGGAAGAGCGAGGAGGAGGAGGAGGAGGGAGGAGGAGGAGGAGGAGGAGGAGGCCCGCGACGGCTGGGCGCGACCGAGTCGGAAGCGCACGCCAAGACATGGGATTAGCAGCCTGGTTGCTCGCGCAGCAGGCCACTCTCACTCGCCATGACGACGGCAAACAACACAATCGTCAAGCGAGGGGGCAGTACACGGAGGGAGGCCATCCAATTTTTGCAGCCGCAGCCCATGCCAAGCGGCAAGGGCCAGCGACTCGACAGGCCCCCCTCCCCATCAGTCAAAGGGAGCTTCACCCGTCTTCGGGTGAAGGCCACGCGCAGCTTATTTGATCTTCAACACCTGTGAGTCACGAGTGCTGGGGTTGGAACTCCTCCCTCTGCACTCGGCCAGCAAACCACGGGCTGACCCAAAAGGCATGATACAGAACGCCGAGCATACCGAGCAGAAAACCACTTTTCCGCACTGCTCAGGTTGATGCTTCAGCGCTCGAAACTGCTCAAAGGCAGCCCCCTGCGGTGGCGGCGCTGGTTTAGCCTCGGGCCCCAGGACCTCTTCCGCCGCCCTCAAGGCAGCTTGCGCCGACTGGGAGGCCATGGGCACAACTTCAGAGCCAAACCGATCAAAGAAACATCTCGCCTGCCACCGCATAAAAAACCGAGGGGGCACAAACACGACGACTTCCCGATCTAAGCTGTAACAGGGATGTCTGCGTGCGAACGAACAAATTGCACAACTTACATCTCCACTGACCTTGGTTGGGAAAATGGCACAGGTCGTGCTCAGTCGAGACCGCCTTTCCAATAAATCCAACGACCCGCGGATCACAGGACAGGGATGGGGTCAAGACGCTCCCGTCTTTTTCAGCCAGCGCGGCGGCCGACTGCACAAAACGGGCCAAAAAATCGAACTTCCTTTCGATGAAATCCAGCTGCCCCTTCTGGACTTCCTCCAACGCACGGGCAGCAGCGACGATGCGGGCAAACCAGTCCGCCCAGCAGTTGCCGATGAAGTATTCATAATCAATTTCGGTGGCCCCTCTGTCAAGTAAGTCGCACCACTCACGATGAGAAGGGGTCCACACAACACTTGGCCTCTCCGAGACCTCACGGTATAACTCAAAATTCCCCCTCCATGTGGAGGCGCGCGGCGACGAGCCAAGGGCAAGCTGGGGAGACCAGTCATTCCGTTCATTCACCGCACTCAAATGATCAGACACTACCTGGGCGCCCCGTGGGTCGCGCCTAAGAGCATGGTAAATCGCGTAGCGCTCGGCCCTGGGAACCGACTGAAGCCGCCCAGGGAGGGCCCCGTAGACCGCTCGAACGGGGAGCCCAGAAGGCCCCACCTCCACGGCGGCCCATCCACACCGACGCAGCTCGGGGCTGTTGTCGGCCAGCCCCGAGCCGCCCGTGAAGATGCGCCCCCCGAACGTCTCGCGGGCACGGCCCCAAGAGCAGACGGGGCTGTCATCGGGCACGGGGGGGATTGCAACCTGCCCCAGCGGGAAGCCGTAGGCCAACTCAAACGTGCCCCAATCGGGCTCGCCAAGACCAGACACCCCCTCGCCCCGCATGGCCGACCGCAGCTCCAGGACGTCCTCAGGAACACCGCACCCCTGGCGCCGTGGGCAATCCAAAATCCCCTCACAGTCGTACCACTGGTGACCTAGGGTCCCACGTGCGCCAGAGGAGCAGAACCGACATGTATTATCAGAGTCATAGCCCGCTTGGACTCCCCGATCAGGGGGCCACAGGGAGCATCCAACAAGGCACCTAGCGGCCCCCTGATATTTACTATCTCTGATCTTAAGGACTCCGTGGCGCAGCCCTCTCATCCAGACAGCTTCAGTGCCGCTAGCCTCTGGCACATGCTGCAAGATGCGGGTCGCTTGCCAACGCGATACCCCCTGCCTCGGCAACCCTCTGAGATCGAAAGGCGAGACGCGAAGGAGGGAGTGGGAATTGCCGAGGTCATCAACTAAAACGTGCGCAGACGACATAGACCACCCTATTCGAAATAGAGACAGCCACACTGCCGAAGCCGGCCCTTTGCACTGGTGCCAGGTTTTGCGAACCTTCAAGCGCGCACAGATCGAACACCACGCATGCTGCAAGGTGCTGAGAGGAAACAAATCATCCTAAATAACTGACGCAGACCTGGTCAGCAGCGGGATGGTAGCCTCATACACGGGGTCAAAAAATCTGTCCCTTCGCGTGGCCAGCCACGAGGTGAGAGCGCCAGACCTCTTCGCGCCCACTAAGGTTCCAGCCAGAGTTCGCAGGGACATACGCGTGATATCCGTCAGGCCACTCACTCCAGCCCCGTGGACCCCCGCTGGCAGAAGGCCCGCCCTCCAGAGCGTGCCGACCTTAGACGGGGCGCCACTTCGAAGGGCCTGGAGTTTCGGCCGACGCTTCGGTGCCTCAATTCAACCTCGCATCCTCCATCCTTCTAAGCGGACGGCCACTAAATACTTCGTGCCCTAAGTTGCGCACGCGCGTCCTACCTCTGAGCTGCATCACCCTCGCCAGCGGGGCAAGCTGAGCAGCAGCACGGGCCGTAGAAGCCACGCGCCCACTTTTTGAAACCTGCAACACGAGCCCCAGGCGGAAAACTTTCCGACAAAACCAGGTGACGGCCCCGAGGGGCGGACCCGAGTCCCTGGGCGAGTCCCCGATCCACTGAAAACTAGCATCGCCCATCAGGACGCGTGGCCGAATGTTATTACTATACAATACGCATAGGCGTGCAATGACCCTGTGAAGCAGGAACTGCATGAGAGTATTCGCATGTGAACATCCCGCGAGTATCCCCTGGAAGCTGGTGACCTCCCTGGAAAGCGACCCGAACGCCTGGACCGCCCTAGGACAACGATAAAGCGCCAGCAACATCCAGATCAACCGTAGGGGATACTCAAAAGGCGGGCTTCTACAAGCACGCTTACAACTATACACTCATAACACTTGTACATATCCACCAGCACAGACATGGCATGCTTACCTACTGCTACTGCTGCTTCAGCTTCTAGGTTATGCGAGAAGGCTGCGTCCGACGACGACAAAGCTCCCCCGCAACCCCGGAACGCTGGGTGCCTGTTTCTCATCTGCCATTCTGCGGACAACGGGCGTCGCAAACGCCCCCATATCCTGACGAGGCTGTTCAGCAGCGCGATGAGTCTGTGCCCTCCGTCAGGCTTTCCCAATCTGACCAGCCTTGTGTGAACACGATTGAGCGGCCAGCACAACAATCTCTCGCATGCAAGGAAGAGCTCACCCATCGCCGACAACCCCTCGTCCGAGACCACGTCCAACGAGCGGGGATGGAGCCGAAGCTGCCCCAGAGCGGTCTTGGTCGGGAAGCTCCTGAGCACCTTTCTGATCTGCCCGACCTCGAATTGCGGCAAGCACTCCCACGCATGTGCATCCTCAGGCAGAGTGGGAGACGTACAATTATGCATCGCCCATATATGCTGCCACTGGTCTATGCAATCGTCGGCCTGCTCGAACGGGTGGCACCGTCCAGTGTCTGCGGCAACCTCCTGCCGCTCACGCAGCCGACTGAAACGATGAGCACACGCAGCACCCCCTGCAAACGCGTCGTTGGCCCACCTGGCCCACGACACGGCAGCACTCCCGGCATGGGCGGTCACCTTACCATCCACGATGTCCAAGAAGCCCTGCACACGGTCGCAGAAGTCGCCATCCGAGAACCTCTGCACGATGTCCGAGATGAAGTCCTTCGCTTCCTCCGACAGGTGGTCCATTACCCAACCTCCACGACGTATTCGACGGAAGAAACCACTTAAATCATAGATCACTTTGCCAAGATATTCAACATCACGATACCCGAGCAGGAGTAGGGACTGCAATCTGCCTCTGACACCTCGCAAGTGCCTGATCCACCTGCCGAATACACGCCACGCTTCAACTTCATCGGGCTGGGCATTTTGCATATGCTGGACTACTTTCCACTCGAACCTGTACTCACCAGGAGGAGGAGGAGGAGGAGGAGGAAGAGAAGGAGGAGGAAGGAGGAGGAGGAGGAGGAGGAGGAGGAGCGAGGAGCGAGGAGGAGTGAGGAGGAGCGAGGAGGAGGAGGAACTTCCAGGGACCCCGCGTGGAAAAAAAACAGACATCGGAGGTCTGGCCCCGCGCGGAAAACTTGGCTCGGCGCTGAGGCCCCCCGCCCCTCTCTGGCGCGCGGGGCGCGCCGCGAGAGGGCGGCGTCGAAGGCGCCGCCCGGGTTGGGCCCGGCGCAGGCCCGAGAAATCCGCGCGGAGCTCCGAAAGTTTACAATCGAAACGCTGTCACAAGGAGCCCCAAATAAGGAACGAGGCCCCTTTTTCTCCAGAAGTGAGATTCCCATTTCCCGTAACAAAAACCTGAAGAGCACCAGGCACAAACTGAAAGACAACGAAAGAACACCGAGCCCCTCCCCAATGAAAAGGGCTCCTTCTTCAGCGGGCCGACTGTACGCTGATGTGCTGTGCAGTTGTTCCTCCTTCGATCGACCACACGCAAGGAGCAACCCCAG